ACTCCCCTCTTGTCAGCACGGAGGTGGAAAAGGATCTTGGAGTCATTATTTACTCCAAGATGAAGATGGCTCGGCAGTGTGGGGAGGCGGCTAGGAAGGCCAGCTGTACCTTGTCGTGCATCCACAGATGCATTTCAAGCAGGACCAAGGAGGTGATCCTCCCCCTCTATGCGGCACTGGTCAGGCCGCAGCTGGAGTACTGCGTCCAGTTCTGGGAGCCGCACTTTAAGAGGGATGTGGACAGCATCGAGAGGGTCCAGAGGAGGGCCACTCGCATGATCAAGGGACAGCAGGGCAGGTCCTATGAGGAAAGGTTACGGGACCTGAACCTGTTCAGCCTCCAGAAGAGAAGGCTGAGGGAGGATCTTGTGGCCTGCTATAAACTAGTCAGGGGGGATCAACAGGCACTGGGGGAGTCCCTGTTCCCCCGAGCGCCACCAGGAGTGACCAGGAATAACGGTCACAAGCTGGCAGAGGGAAGGTTTAAGTTGGACATCAGGAGGCGCTACTTCACAGTCAGGGCGGCTAGGATCTGCCCAGGTCCCTTCCGACCCTAGAAACTATTACCAATAGTCTTTTACTATTGGTAAAGTATTACCAATAGACCTTTTTTCTGCAAAAAGCAGCTCTTAGAAATTGAGGTGTGCATTATAAGCAAGAATACAAAAGCTTCTTCCTAGAAAAAGTATGTCTGTAGGATCCACAGGGAGCAGAACAGTGAACAAGTTCATTTCCGCTGCTGCTACGCAGTTATTTACTACAAGAAACATCTCCCCTTCCCCCATTCATTTTGCTTTTCAAAAATAAGATACGTGTCTTATTCTTGGACATACAGCAAGAAGGGCCTTCATGAATAGCTAATTTTTGTTTTACCAGCTGAACACCACCCCTAAAACAAAAAAACCCCATCAAAAAACCTACAAAATAAACTGGTTCAGATAAATGAACCAAAATGAAAAACGCTTTTAAAAACATCAAGTTTGATACAAAATCAATTCATCAAAAGTGAAATGTTTTATATTGAGCAACTGTTAAAACAAGGGGGGGGGAAAAAAAGGGGAAGAAGGAAATGACAGATTATGCACAAACATGCAGAGAAGGTAGTGTTGGTATATGGTGCTTACACATACTTCATCATTTAGAGCACTCATCCAAGATGCGGAAAGACTTGGTTTCAGTTCTCTCTCAACATCTCCCACATCCCTGAAAACACACCCCAGCCACCCGGCTATGAGGATGGGATATTCTTAGATCTCTCCTGTTGGCAGGCTTCCACTAAATCAAAACATTCACTAGATAACGGGCTGGAATCCAGGTGCCCCTGCCCCTCTTAGATGAGTCCTAACCAAAAAGCTAGATGGGAATTCTTGTTCAATGACTAAGCATTTTACACAAACCTGAATAGTTATAGCAGGAAAGACAAGGAGATCCATCTTAGAATATGCCAT